CGGTTATTGGAGCCCATAAACATCTTCAACGTAAATGCGCCACCCACCTTGAGATATAAGTTCTAAGGTCTCAGTATGTTACAACGGCTGCCTCCCACCCTTCAAACCGAAAGCAGTAATCTTCACGGCAGAAATAGGCAGATATAGACAGAGGAATTTACCACAGAAATATACAGTATTGCGGTCCCCATCCGAGCGGACAGTAAAATTAGAAGCGGGCTACAAGAATATCTTAGAAATGAGAAGGTATTCGAGGAGAATCTATATAAATAAACATGAATTTGCTGTTCATTAGTCTCGCTAAAACTCGAGAACGGCTGGACCGATTTGGCTAATATTGGTCTTGAATTATTTGTGGAAGTCCAGAGAAGGTTTAAAAGGTTAGATAAATATGAAAATGTTCGAAATTAAATAAAAATAACCATTTTGTTTTTCCTTTGATGTGTCCCCCGTCGGACGGATTCCTTTTGTTTGTTTTAAGTTTATTTTATACAAAAGTTTAGGTCTTTTATTTATCGATTGAGGCACTACGAAGTCTGCCGGGTCTGCTAGTGTCAAATAAGTTTTATCACACACGGTCAGGCGAATGTATAAATTTTAACACGTGTGAAATCAGCGGAACGTAAACCTTAAGAAATTTTCTATATATGATCGTAAATGACCTTCACTCATGTACTTAGTGTCCTATATAGATTACACGTTTAGCGGAAGTGTTGCACGGCTTCGCTCCGTACGTACTACGTCTTCAGAGATTAGTTATATTTATTTCACCTCAGTAAGAAGTTATCACGATCTTTTTTAGTCCACTGAGCTTCACGCCGGATCTTCTCAGTGGGTCGCGTTTCCGATCCGGTGGTAGATTCTGCGAAGCACTGCTCTTGCTAGGGCCAGTGTTAGCAACATTTTCGTTCACCTATACGTCAAGGCGAAACTGAAGTCTCTCAAGGCTATCAATCAGCATAGGTAGGAAACAAAACGGCCTTTGGGTCATTTTCAATTTTGCGGCCAAAAAAGTAACGATTTCATGAATTTAAACTTTCTCTAATTTTCCATTTTTGGAACGAGATTTCTTATGGGACGATGCGGAGGGGTACCCTAACCGGGAAGAAACGTCCGTACATATTTTTATTATATATTTTTTATAAATCATTGTGAATAAAATAAAGTTGATAACTTTGTAAAGTAGTTCTTTTTTCATTTTTATCAATAAAAATATCATAATAAAAAATGTATACCCGAATAAATATTTTCTTTATACCTCGAATAGAATTTAAAATTAATATTTTTATAATAAGGAACTTCGTTCCTATCTGGTGTCCCACGACACCACACATCTTTTTTTTGTATTTAGGCGTGTTCTGAATAAAAAATGCTTTATCACAATCAAGTCAATCACATTATATAATATTCATTCATATTTTCCATTTAACGCATTTGATAACGCCAACACGGATGACAATTTCAATAGGAACTTTTTTATCGTATTTCTTTTATTTTTAATAATTTTCTAATATCCAGTTATTTTTCTTTATTATTGTATCATATAGTAATTAAATAAAATTGCCAAATTTCAACACGCATTACTGGAAAAATAGCAAACAAGTTAGAATTTAAATTTCGAACCAGTGATACGAATGAGATTTGGGGTAGTTTTTAATGTCTAACTCCTAATTTAACAATGTTTACGAATATATAGTTAAAGGACCACGTGCCTGTTGTCATGACAACAAATTTAATGTACTCATAATTACGGTAACATTAAGGTTATGAGAATTAAATCAAATTACTCGTTTTTGGTCCCAAAATTGAAAACTACCCCTTAACTGCGCTTTAATTCGTCCTTTATCTTTTTCAAGCTTTTTCGAAATCACATCGAAGGCGTCGTGATATGAAATTCGATGCAACGAAATAGCGACACTAAAAAGAGACAAACGTTTACTATAAGGGGGGTGGCCAGCGAACAGTCTTTTTTTTTATTTGCTTAAATGGGTGGACGAACTCACAGCCCACCTGGTGTTAAGTGGTTACTGGAGCCCATAGACATCCACAACGTAAATGCGCCACCCACCTTGAGATATAAGTTCTAAGGTCTCAAGTATAGGTACATCATCTAAATAGTCTATCGTGGCAAGGCAAAAAATACAAATTCATAATTACCTATATGTAGCATAGACTGCGCTACGTAAAAAGTAGGTACTCAACGCGAGAAGTAGTTACTAAGATTAAATTTCAGTTTCATCTTTTTAATTAATTTGTTAAGACAACTCGCGCACCACCTATCGCGCTACGATGGTACTACATCATAATGAAGTCGTCGTCGTGGTCTAAAGGATAAGACTTCCGGTGCATTCGTATGTAGTGATGCATCGGTGTTCGAATCCCGCAGGCGGGTACCAAATTTTCTAATGAAATACGTACTTAACAAATGTTCACGATTGACTTCCACGGTGAAGGAATAACATCGTGTAATAAAAATCAAACCCGCAAAATTATAATTTGCGTAATTACTGGTAGTAGGACCTCTTGTGAGTCCGCACGGGTAGGAAACAGCACCCCGCCTATTTCTGCAGTGAAGCAGTAATGCGTTTCGGTTTGAAGGGTGGGGCAGCCGTTGTAACTACCTATACTGAGACCTTAGAACTAATATCTCAAGGTGGGTATCGCATTTACGTTGTAGATGTCTATGTGCACCAGTAACCACTTAACACCAGGTGGGCTGTGAGCTCGTCCACCCATAAAAGCAATAAAAAAATACTTTGCTGACGTCACAACGACAGTACTAAGTTTAAACGCATTACAATAAATGACACACAGACAAACAGCCAAACTTACTATTTATTGTTAGAAAACTGAGTCGTTCTAATCTGTACCACAAACTATTGAATAGTAAAATAGTAATCGCGAGATTAGAGCCGTAAAAATGTTGGTCCGTGAAATAGATCAGTGTAAAGAGTAACATAATATAAACTTCTTTGACGAACAATGCGTTGAAATCTTTTGGGGGGCGCGGCAGGGGGTGTCCTATTCCTAAAACTACGTCTCACATGAAAACATAACAATTACGTGCGATTATCATGATGTTACATTACAATCGTTATCTGTTATGACGCGTGTTGATAACGATTCGGAATTCACATTATTTTATATAATTACGTCTTAATAATGTTAAATATTGTCGGTGTAAACATTTTTTTTTTCTATATAATCCGCATTAACTTGAACTAAAGGGATTTTTTTTATTGAAACATCTCACATGTAAAAGGGAAACAGTGATCTTAAGTTAAGTTTTTAATAAAAACTGCGATTGACGAAACTTCGCATTCTAGTTTAATATTTCTACTTTGTGACGCCTAGCGCCATCTAGTTTACGCCTTGTTAACTATTTGTGAACGAGATAAGCAGCTGCAAGTTACACAGTCTAAAACGTTTTTATTGGCCTAAAGTTTAAGCCTTATACTAACTAGGTAAGAAAACATTAATATATTTTTGTAGTAACGACTTCATACTGAATGTATTGTTATTACATATTTGTTTTATAAATATTGTTTCTTTTTTTATTTATTTAAAATATTCGTTTCAAATGGACTGTTCCATTACTGTTACTAATATTTCATTGAAATTCATAAATAAATTATACCTTATTTATGAATTTATTATTTTCAATCATAAATACCACACAAGATTACTAAGTAAGATTTTTTCTTAAACTAAGAATATAACTTATAAGCTTGGAACGGAAGAACCAATAATTCAAGTTCTTAGCTTAGGCAAAGAGTAGAACATGAAGAAAACTTATAGAAATTCCTCGAATTCTCGTATCCATAACGTCCTTAGACTACATTAAGGCTCGGCCACTAGTAGCTCGTAGCATTCAAAATCGTCATTAGAACGAATGCTATTCTTTTTAATTTAAATGCATTACAGATAGATATCAACGATTGAAAGGCAAACGTGACTAAGCGACAATAACTGCTTTATACATAAATTATAGGCAATAACCATATTCGATGCGCAAAAAAATATATTTCTAGGTCTATTAAAATCATTTCAATCCTACAGCTACTAGCTAGATTCTACTACAGCTAGATTCGTTAAAATAAATTTTGTTTTCAGGTACTTCAACTTTAAATTAGTCTACTGTAAAGTTCACGCATTGTCGCTTAGTCACGTTTGCCTTTCAAGCGTCGATAAATAGAACAAATATTGAATTGTATGAAGATACAATGAGAACAATCATATACTCACCTTCGTTGGAAATCGATGAAAACTGAAAAACTGGAAGACATAAGTTTTCGAAAGAACCAAATAATTTAATGAGCTGGGTGATTGTGTTTCATTCCTACATAATTCTGTCTCATCATCCAACAGTTTCATCTATTATAATTATTTTAATAAGCCCAATTTTAGAGGTGAACAACCCACAGCTTTTAAAAACTTTTTTCCATTGAGCTTAAAGTGAGATTAACGAAAATTAGCTTAGAAAGTTTAGAGTGAGCGTGGTAACTAAAATGTTGGCAGACTTATAATGCCTTCTTACACTAGTTAACACAACGGCCTAGCTTCACTATCAAGATCTTTATTTACATCTTGAACTCTTCACACATAACTGAATCTACATTTAACATTATTATCACAATACTATGCAAATTTTGGTTACTGTCTATACATCATTATACTATTACATATTTTAAAGGGTTCTACAACTGATTAAGCCAAAAACTTTAGTGTTTAAATTCAGAGACCTATGTCCAGCAGTGAACAACTGTGTGATGATGATGATGGTGATATTATGTTTGGTGATGGTATATTATGTTTGTATTGATCGTTGATTAAAATTCTATGCACAAACGCAAACAGAAGAATGTTTTTCTTTTGCGGTTATTCACCAGGATTGTAATTTTGAATTGATTATTTAAAATTTTGTTTTTGCTTTCGGAAACAACGTGATGTTTTTTATTATACACAAATATTGTTCCTGAGAGGCTATAACAATTACTTACCTTGAAATGTTGGTGTGCCGCTTGTTCCTCAGCCTCAAACTTGTGTTTTATGTTCTCGATCCTCATTTGCTTGAGTATGCCGGCTACTTCGATTCTGGAGATAACCGTTACTGAATTAGATCATATATCATATACACCCAATTCATTCATACATTTAAATTATTTACTATAACTATCATGTATAGGGTTCTGGTATGGAATCTTGGCTTCATAAAGCTTTTACTACCTCACTGTACCAAGGAACTCTTAAAGGGTCAGGGCAAAAACTCCAGTGCCTAAAATGCTTCAAAATCATTGTCTATTTTTTAAATCACAACTTCGTAAAAGTAACAGACTGTCATAGAGCCAGTGGCTCATATGGCTAGTAACTGTTTTGCACCTGTAATAATGTACTTCCTGGAGGTGGTGGAATGGCAGGAGTGATAGCAACACATATTATTATCAAATATGAGCTCTTTATATTTTGGGACATGTAGTAGCACACACATTGTGATGTCTATGGTCCTCGGTAACCACTAACAGCAGGTAGGCTGTGGTCCTCTTCAGCTATCTGTGCGTTAAAAAATAAATAGACACACAAGGAATTTAAAATGCCGTTTTTAATCAGTCAGTATCTAGTAGTAAGTTCTTCCTTCTTTTTCCAGCCTAGACCATTCCTAGTTTATATTTACTCTACCAAGGTAGTCAGATTAGTGATAGAGCTTGTTGTGAGCCCAGATAGGTAGGTATAACCGTCCTGCATAATTCTGCTGTTTCAATATGAAGCATATATTCAATTGCAATAGAATTCAAACTCATTTCTTCAGGTGAACATTTCCAAATAATGTTTTATTTTTTTATTTGTTGTAAAAGTTGTAAAATGGCTGTTTTGGTGGTTTTCATATTGACAGAGTACCACTTAAAAAACTGAGAAACTTTTATTATTTGTTAAAATGTTATCATTTTTTGTAATATTATAAACAATTATAGTTATAGTTATTCCCATGGAATTTATTATTCTAGAAAGAAGCATTGTCAATTTAATCACTTTATTGCTTTAGACAGTCAAGTGAAATGAAAGCGAGTTTACTGCTGGTTTCAGAATTGATTTTAGTACTGATTTTAGACTTTAGTAATTTTTCTAATGAAATACGTACTTAAAAAATGTTCACAATCGACTTCCACAGTGAAGGAATAACATCGTGTAATAAAAATCAAAACCCGCAAAACTATAATTGGCCTAATTACTGGTGGTACGATTTCTTGTGAGTCCACACGGGTAGGTACCACCACCCTGCCTATTTCTACCGTGAAGCAGCAATGCGTTTCGGTTTGAAGGGTGGGTCAGCCGTTGTAACTATACTGAGACCTTAGAACTTATATCTCAAGGTGGGTGGCGCATTTACGTTGTAGATGTAGATGTCGTACGTTGTAGATGTCGTTGCATCACCCATCTATGCAATAAAAAAAAGTTATAAGTGGAACTTTTTGGAATGAAAATCACTAAACAACAGGTAGGCTCTGAGCTTCTTCACCGATCTCCATATGAATAACTCAGTCTACATATTGCATAGGCAATACAGAAGCTAAGAAAGAAGACACTACAATAAAATCAACAATATCATTGTTTATGTTATTGTTTTTATTTATGTTGTAGTTTTAAGATAGTAATATTTGTGGCGTAATGGTGTGATTATTTGTTTATAATACTTTATCATTTTTTATGAATTAAATTATCTCAAAAGATCCACTGTCAAATGTATCTAAGTTTTCAATGAATTTTATTTAATTTCAGCACCTGATTCTCATATTCTCCTGCAGTCTTCGAAGTGGACCGAGATATTCCTGGGAGCGACCACCCCTCACTTCGGCCAGTTGATATTCAACTTGCTTCACTCTCTCTACGTACAATTGTTCTCGAAGCACAGTGAACTGTCGCTCAAGTTTTGCTGTGAATAATTTCGGTAAAGTTTGTTAGAATCAACAATAATATTTCACACTTATGTTTCTGACAAGGAGGCTTTGGGAGTTTTAATTTATTTACGAAACTTAATAGCACTTAAAAATATAATTGCTCAACATAAAATTGTTATATAAGTAGTCAGAAGAATTTGGTTGTAAAACTGTAAAGCTAGTTTTAATTATTGCATTATTTGTACTTTTACTTTTTATCAAATAGCGAATTTAAATTTTCTTTTGCGTTCAATATTATTATCGAAATACAAACGTGTCCATTAAGAGTACTTTAGCAATGAAATTCTAGAAAATTAATCTAGGAAATTCAATTTAGTACATTATTTATGAATGTTATAATAATCTAATGTATTATTAGTTAAAAATATATACGATAACTCTACTGAAACAGCGATTAGAGTCCATATGTTTCGAAAACAATTCGACATTGTTTTGTAAACATAACCTCAAAAGTAACTTATCTACGAACCTAAGTTATCGAGACATTCGTTTCTGCGTCTCTCACACTCGCCTTCGTCCATTTCCGAAGAATCGTCGGAGTCAGGCTCGTCAGCTTCCTCAGCGCTAGAGTCCCGGTCTGGGCCACGGGAAGAGCCCCCAGATCTTTCGGTATCACCCCCAGACATTTCTCCGTCTCCATCACTATCGCCTTCCACTTTCATTGACGGCATTACGGAAATATATTTTTAATTATGAAGTAGAATTAATTTTAATTTTGTAATGAATTGTGTTTTCGCTCCAATTAGTAAATTGCAAAATTTGAATACCTACGTCAAAATAAATTTGTGAAAGTGAAGTTAACGTCAATGTCATAGATAAGATAATGTCAAAAGTCAAAATAATAATGGTTTATTTTTTCAACAGGAAAGGCGAAAGTATCATACCATAACATACAAGATTTTATAATTGTATGTGTGTATTTTATAATTTGGAAAATAATATACTAATATGTTGTATGTTTATATAATAATGTATAATAGTATAAAATGATTTATCGGAATCATCGATTGGGTTCGAATGCAATGAAACGTAAAATGGAAGCTAGCGTTTTTAGCAGTAGGCAGCGCGCGGCTTGGCTCTGCTCCTGGCATTGCTGAAGTCCATGGGCGACGGTAACCACTTACCATCAGGTGGGTCATACGCTCGTCTGCCTACAAAAGCAATAAAAAAACAAACAAAAAAAAGCTACTGGTTAAGACTTCAGTGGACTATTGGGAAGAACCCAAGAAACCACGTCCAGCGACTTTGTTTCATTGTCCTACAATTATGCACTTCCACAGATGCTAAACGGTTAATAAACCCTTGTAATCGTTTAAACCTGAAGACGCTAAATTAATTCACACAATTACATTTCTCGCGTTCCTACAACAAAACCGTCAAAATGTAGATTTACAGTACCTCCTTTCAGATTGTTCAATACATGACAGGCAAAGATATCATGCACTACGTCTAATCTTTTATTTTGCTATTAAAGGTCGAAGCCATGTAACTTGAAAAGTGAAATGGGGCGGAATTAAAGCATCTCATTTATCTGAAATAGCCGTAAAAGCCATATCTGGCGATTTTTAGACACTTTGCTATATCCTAAATAATTAGTAAGCCAGTATGAGTAATCAACGTTTAATCGTTGAATCCTGAAGAGTTAAAAATTAACTAAACTAAACAATTTATGTGCCTCCGCTCGTCTCAAAGGACTCCACTTTAAACAGACTATTTAAAGGTGACTATTATAGACCATCAGATACAAATTTCACTTTCGTTATTTCTAGTGCCATAAATTAGATTTATATTTATAATATGACCACTTATAACGGAGAGCGATCAGATTGTTTATGTGTTTAAAGATTCAAAATGCAGTGGTGTTTATGTCCATAAAGATAATGTTGATGGTTCCTGACATGATAACTTTTTTTTCTTCTTAAGCTGATAGCCTTGAGAGGCTATATCAGCGTCAGGCTCAAACCTGACGACGTTGCTAACACGAACCCTAGCAAGAGCCGTGCTTCGCAGAATCTACCACCGGATCGGAAACGCGACCCAATAGAACATCGTTAATACCAAACGTAAAGTGTTTCTAAATGCGCAATGAAACTCTATTAAAAAAAGAACCTCACGGAGTCATTGGGTTAAAGAGGCGGAGTGTTGTCTAGCCCTCAGGCACAGTCCACTGAGTTTCTCGGATCGGATCTTCTCATTTCCGATCAGGTGGTAAATTCTGCGAAGCACTGCTCTTGCTATGGCGAATGTTATCAAACGTCAAGTTAGAGCACTGTGAGGTCGAGGTCAAAAATAGGCAGGATTTTTTTTGTTTTAGGTCGTCGGTTTTCGATATATTATAAACTTAATAATATGAAACTTGTTTATCTATGTTCAAGAAGTACATTATTACACATACCATTTCAAGATGGCACCCTCACACCCCGTAAACTTACGAACAAGTGATGAATTCAATTAAAACCAATATTATCTGATATTAAATTTAATAGGTAGTCTATTATTTACATTAAATTGTTCTCTATTAACATGTTATTTATAAATCTTTATTCAGTTGTTAATAAATTATATACAGGACTATTTATAAATTAGGTAATAATAATATCAATACTGTGGAACCTTTTATATTTTAATCACAAATTTAATGCAGTAGTGACTTCTGCTATACTTTGTTGAAATCTCTAGTACATTAAATTATGTAGTTTAAAAAGTAAAGATACAAACGAAAAATAACAAAACATTGCATAAACGATAGCACCTCCACTGGCTAAATTATAATATGTATTCATGGTTTCAAATAAAGGACCTATTAATAATGTGAAACAGTTTTTGATGATTCTGAGCTTATACCGAACCCATTATATGTGTGTTCCACTTACGGTAACATTTAGATTATACAATGGCCAAGTTCGATTTGCGATAAAAAAAACTATGAATTTAACCAGCGCTCAAACTGAAATCAGTTTACGCCTAAACAAAAAAATACACAATAGTGATATAATTATCATATGACATAGGTAGGTACTTAATATGAAAATTGTGATTCTCAAAGATGATCATTGGCACCACTACTCGAGTGGTTTCATTTGGCACTAACATAATTGGATATTTTTACACAATTCTATCTAAACAATTTTACCGCGACTTTGTATATTTATTGGACATTTAGAATATTTGTTTTCATTTTATTTTGTATCATTATTGCTATAATAATCCTGTTATATTATATTAGTGAATCACAGAGGGTCCGAGATGAACTAAGAAACATAGTTTCATTGATGGCTAAAAGAAATCCAATACATACATAGAATTTTACAAGTGATTTTAATTCATAAATTAATGCATAGTGTATATGTTAAAACAGGTATTGTATTATCTGTATATTTTAAGTCATAATTTTTGAACCGTCAGCTGTCAAATAGTTAATAAAACAATCGGGCAAAGGTATCGAAATTTTCTATAAAACAGATATGTCGTTACACACAGTAGAATTTTGATTATACGGATATAAAATATTGCTTCTCTACTCACTATGATAGCGATTTTATTGATTTTTGTTGGTATCAACATGCTACGCTCGATCCACCTCATCAGCGAGAACCTCAAGATAAAACTACAAGGAGAAAATTTTCAAAAAATTCCTATTAAAACTACCTTTATAAATTTGGCCTTAGAGAAATATTTTTATTGTATTATTCATCGTACTTTATTCTTTATTTTTTTTCGTTTTAACTATCTATGTATTTTTATTTTATTTAACTGCTGCCCGTAAATTCCATCGCATTAATATTATTGTAGCAGTGATGGTAAAATTTAACAATCTATTAACTTTCCCCTAGTTTAATTTATTAAAAAGTTCTGGATGTATTATAAATAGGCAATGTTTTAGGTATTGAATAAATGTAATACATATCTTTTCGAACATACGTAATATAATTCAACAAGAGTTCGAGTTTTTACTATTCAATAAGTTGGAAAATTATTTTATTCAATATGTAAAAACATTTTTTAAAACATCATAAAACTCGAATACATACTTAATTAAAATACGATTATTTGAATTGGTACACGCACACAAAATTAAATGGCAACACAGCCAATTTAATTTGAAACATGGTAATGGAACATAATATACACAGAAAATATATTTTTAAATAACGAGTTTTAAATACATTGATATAAATCGTGTTCACGAGTATTGGACAAATGGAATGAAAAAGTGCCAATTTAGTGGTCTACATTAAGAGCTAACTATTGAAATTGTAAATTTCTCTCATTGTCACCTCTACCCTCATCTTTTCATAAGATTTCACATCTCACTAAGCTGCTACTCGAAGTTGCCAACGAAATTTTAAACATTAATTTGGAACTAAATTCGTTTTAGACGTCTCAGCCATCTACAAACTCGTGTTTTGGAAGATTTAATGTTGGCAACCCTCAAACAATAAGTCGTTTTAAAACAAACCGTTGATTAGTGACGCTAAAGTGATGCTTGCTTCTTTAACATAAGTACAAAATTAAGATTGAAACAGAAACTGTTTCATCTGGTAATGCATATGACACGAACGTGTCTACAAAATATAAAAATTAAATTACCAATTTAACCCACACTCTGTCACACCGTTCGGTCTAAAATTTATATTTCATGTTAATGTAAACCTTACCTTGCATAAATAAGGTTTACTAACGCAATTTCTACAGGTTCTATTAGACTTAAAATGAAATTCGAGCTTAATTTAATCAACTTGAATGATAATATAACTTCTCTTTTTAAAACTTCATTGAAGATTGAAAGTCTTATCCGGCATGGTTACATATGTAGATACCTGCTAACGCGTCAATAATTTCTTACTTCAAATTGAAATTCGCCGGTATACATCACGACACGTGACGGCAGCCCGCGCGGTTGTAGTCCCTTAACCAAAAATACATTACAAAAAACGGTGTCTATTTAAAAAAAAAATTAAATGAAATGTAAAATAATTCGCGAAACATTTTTCAAATAGAATTTACTTTTACAAGCTTACAGATCGCCAATTATTGCATACTTTACATTGTGGGCTTACGCAGTATTAAATTACTAAGCAAGACTTAGATCACCAATCTTTTATTCCCAGTTACAAGTTTATGTACCTAATGGCTTATTTAATTTATACCGTTTCGGCTTCCGTAGTTGATTCTGACCGGGTCGACAGAGTGTAAAGTTATTTGGCGTAAATTATCGAAACACAATAAGATATCCCTACGGTAATTTTCATTTATTAACATCATCAACTAAATTCGGGAACACATTATTAAATTCTATATTTTCTACAAAACTCGTACTCGTATCGGTACATCTAGCTCTACGCGAAACAATCTCTTTAGACGTATGATTATTATTGTGTCTTTTCAAATCGCAAGCATTCATAACGTAGACGAGCAAATGTAAGATCACTTGCGTTAATATCTCGAACAGAAACACAAAATTTAACATGACGCTCCTTGTATACGTTCGCGTTACGTTACGTTTCGTCTCCGTCACGTTAACGTTACGTCGCCTAATCTCGTTTTCGACTCGAATCAGTCTTTTAGTTGCCGGACTAGCAACTATGTTGAATTCTCGCTAGGTGTGCTTGAGCCAGTGAGCGGGCACCCACTGCGGCTCGCGCTCCAAGCTGTTGATCTCGTTCAACAGCTGCTGGTAGGCACGTTGTGTGTCGTTATTGATTATTATCATGTCGAATAAATGGCCCCATCTCAATTCCATATCTCTTGCAGTTGCAATTATTTCTTTGAGCTCCTCCTCCTGCAATGAAATAAAAGATTCTTGAAAACATAATAATATCGTCAATGTAACCAACATATTTCAAACTTTTAAACTAAAAAAATATACAACATTGAACACTTGAAGCTTTAAACATACTGATTATTTAAATGTTCTTAATCAAAATAATATATGAGAATCAATAAAACTCTTGGTTTTTTTCGGTAACGTTAATGGCAATATTTGTTGAAACCCATTGATAATATCCAGGCGGCGTACCTTGAATGCCTCCGCATTCCGGATCTTCTTCTGTCGTAATTTCTCGAGGCTGGGCGGTGCTACGAACACGGTGTAGGGCTTGAGGTCGGAGTTACGCAGGATCTTCAGCGACTGAGGATGCAGGTTCAGCACACAGATTTTACCGGAGTTCACTACTTCGCGTATCGCTTCCAGTGACGTGCCTACAAAAAAAGAAATACATTAACACAATTAAATGGTGGTAGGACCTCTTGTGAGTCCGGACGGGTAGGTACCACCACCCTGCCTATTTCTGCCGTGAAGCAGAAATGCGTTTCGGTTTGAAGGGTGGGGCAGCCGTTGTAACTATGCTGAGATCTTAGAACTTATATCTCAAGGTGGGTGGCGCATTTACGTTGTAGATGTCTATGGGCTCCAGTAACCACTTAACACCAGGTGAGATGTGAGCTAGTCCACCCTTCTTAGCAATAAAAAAATACGTATTTAGACCAAATTATGAAAGTATTAATTATGGTAAATTATGTACCTAACAGTAAGAAACCGACAACGTGTGAAGTCAAAAATTCAAAACTCGGCAGGGTTTCATTCCTATAACGAAACCACTGCACAAACAGTTTTAAAATATCTACTTTAATTATAAGAATTTAAAACTCATACAATTATTGGAAGTTATTGTTTTCTTCATTATAAAAGTAATAAAGTAAACAACATAAATGAAATTAACAAAAATAGTATTAGGGACATTTTATACGATTTCTATCTTACCGTAGTAAGCCTTTTCATATTCTCCATGCTCGACGAACTTTCTGTTCAGTATGTCGGCTTCGAACTGCGTGCGCGATATGAAGTGGTAATCCTGGCCGGGCACTTCGTGGTCCTTACGCGGCCTAGACGTGTCTGGAAACAAAACAGTTCTGACATCAATCACTCATCAGTAAAGACAACAACAACAGAGCCAAATGCTAATAAAGATTATGCTTCAAAATGAAATCTACTCATGACATTAGTTATGACAAAGAACTTCTATAAAATAATCCAACTTTTTTATATATTTTTTATTGCATAGATGGGTGGATGAGCTCACAGCCCACCTGCTGTTAAGTGGTTACCGGAGCCCATAGACATCTTTTTTTTTTTTTTTTTTATTGCTTAGATGGTTGGACGAGCTCACAGCCCACCTGGTGTTAAGTGGTTACTGGAGCCCATAGACACCTACAATGTAAATGTGCCACGCACCTTGAAATATAAGTTCTAAGGTCTCAGTATAGTTACAACGGCTACCCCACCCTTCAAACCGAAACGCATTACTGCTTCACGGCAGAAATAGGCGGGGTGGTGGTACCTACCCGTGCGGACTCACAAGGGGTCCTACCACCAGTGATTACGCAAATTATAATTTTGCGGGTTTGATTTTTATTACACGATGTTATTCCTTCACCGTGGAAGTCGATCGTGAACATTTGTTAAGTACGTATTTCATTAGAAAAATTGGTACCCGCCGGCGAGATTCGAACACCGGTGCATCGCTCGATAAGAATGCACCGGACGTCTTATCCTTTAGGCCACGACGACGACGATAGTTTGATAGCATAACCCTATAGGGATAATCAAAGTTTGATACTCACGCGGCACGGCTGCGGCAAACCTGGAACCGTCCTCCATGAGTCTCTGCCGCAGTTCGTGTCGGCCTATGTTGGGTGGTCCTATCAGCACTATGGGCCGCTTGTGTGACGCGCGCGGATAGTACAGAGCTACCTCTTCGTACGTCAGGATCTCTTCTTGTTCGTATTCTGGAAGCAGCAATGACAGTGGCATTTTGATTAAAAGAGTTTCTTTTTGGATGTAACTAGAGAGATCTATTTTTTTTGAATATTTTTGGTAAAGGGATGAAATTTTGAAATGTTATGGATTCTAGATGCGTGTACGAACTTTTAAATTACTTTGACTCTTTAAAGCTATTAAATATTACTTTGAAAGAATTCGTTACATAATTATGCATGAATATGTGCATATCATCACAGATACAAGTCAAGCTAGTTAAATCGTGTTTAATTATTTTTTCCCCGTCATGTAGGTAACACAGCTGTCGTATTATTAATTTACTTTGTCTATCAATATCTATGTAGTTATGGTCTATTAACTCTAAAAAGCTCTACCTACGAAATGTGAAGTTCGTTCACGGTTGGGTATCAGTAATAACATAAGCTATGAATGCGATTCAACCAGTTATTCCCAAACTTTTATCGAAACGAAAAAGTTCTGTATTAATATGATCCTTGAGATGCAATAGGTATGTAGAACTAAAATGGACCTAAGTATTCACTTTTAACAAACTGCCTTGTATTGTTTCTTGAATATTTTCCATTATTGGAGAAAGGGATAAATGTATACAAATTAAAAATAATAATCTATATGAATAGTAGTCGGTTAGATCCAATGGTGCAAGTGTACTTTATCCCAATTGTGGCTTCAGCATTGATCAGCCCTAGAATGTCTATTATTTATGTTATCAACAAAAACATATATTGAAGTTTCAATGTTTCATAACGCCACAATAATCACTAGCGAGTGAAGGTACATTAATATACTCGTACATGTGAGATTAATATTGAATCTAAAACTTTGGGAATCACTGGTTTATGCGGTTTGCCAAATTTTAGTAAAATAAATAATAAAAAACAAATATAAGTACCGTCGACTGTCAAGTGCATACCGTCTCCGCCAGACGTCGAGTAGAGAGGGTATCCAGCTTCACTGGTCGCCTTCTTGCCCTTCTTCTTGCGCGGCGGTTTCCTCGCGCACAGCAGAGTACCGCCTTTCCTGGGCTTGTCGCGGGCTGCCACTTCGCCGGCTAACGTTAACTTCATTGCTTCCCGTCTGGAAACACGCGGCATTTTACTGCTTTGAACGAGCAGATTAGTTTTTTTTTATTGCTTAGATGGGTGGATGAGCTCACAGGCCACCTGGTGTGAAGTGGTTACTGGAGCCCATGGACATCTACGACGTGAATGGGTCACCCACAAAAATAACAAAAAGTACAAAAATAGACTTTATTGCATAAGAAATATGGCTATTAAAAAACAGCTTACTGGTGTTGGAACGCTTGACTCGGTATTAGTCCGGCGAGGGTCTGGTCCTCCTCGCCTTCCCTGTACGCCTGCCACCAGTTCGGGTCTTCGCGACTTATCACGTGTAACACGTCACCTTTTTGGAAGCTTATACCTGAAAGTTAAAGGTAATTATGAAGTAGACTAATCGATTAGTCGCCAGTGACCTCCAAAATTTTAAATTATTCGAAACATTGGAAGTAATGTTAAAAGCGTACCTAATGATTTATTAAAAGTATTATTAAGTATGTCCGCGATTGGTAAAAACCGAAGAAAATACAATATACCATTTAACTGAGACATCTTCGCTCCGGTTTGATAGGTAAGACGGTCGACTATGACGGAGGTCAAATGGCAAATGGCCAAGGCCAATGTGTAATAAATAAAGGCCTTAATAATGAAATAAGACCTTAACAATTATTTTACACTGTCCGAATGAAACCGGGTTGGAGGGTTCCGGTGAAGGTTACGGAGGCGCGTCTAGTGCAATGCCTTACAGCAGCTCTATACAACTGCAGACCGATTGGCGGTGAGCTACATGCGATGCCGAGAGTGCTGGGAAGTCGCTTGGTAGGTAAGCCTTTTATAGCTTTGGTTCCTTTAATTTTTTTAAAGGGATTTTATGACCTGGTAACTAAGACTTTTAAGTCATATATTATTTTAGTTTTCATTCTTATTTTTATGAAAAATGATAAAATGGAGTGAAATGAAGATGATTAATTTGAGGCATTAATCTACTGGGACAAAACTAAAGAAAAATAGATGATATTGGATGAAAAATAATATCAGTAAAATGGTGGTCATTTACTGAGATTTTTCTAGTGGACTTCTTGGAGGATCCCGAGAAGTTACGTCCAGAGGCTTTGTTTCATTTTCCCACATTTGTGCACTCTCACAGATATTAAACAGTTAATAAACCACCGTTATTAAACTTTAATAAAGCCGAAGAAACACTAAATAGACAAAATAAAACAAATCACAAAACTTCGCTCCTCGCGTTTGCGCCAAAGTCTTCGGTTCCTTAATGTGCTCGACCACAGGGTCCAACGTGCAGAAACTTTGGCCCGGTCCGAAAAAAAAAACCAAATTAAAGGGGGAGGGGTTACCGAGCTCCCTGCACGGGATGTACACGTCGTCCTCCGGGTCGTAGTCGAAGTGCGCGCGCACGTGCAGCACGCGCGGCGGCGGCGCGGCCCGCACGCAGCGCGCTCGCGGCGCTAGCACCACACACAACGTGCCCGACAGCGCGCCCAGCACCTGGCACACCTCGTGCACAGACTTGCCGCGCATCGCCACGCCGTTCACCTCCAGCAGCTGTTGGACGACAACACTTTACTAGTGGTGGGACCTCTTGTGAGTCCGCGCGGGTGGGTACCACCCATCCACCTATTTCTGACATAGAACATGAAGATATAGAACTGACAACGGAATAATTGAAATCTTAACTTTTTTATCGCCATTTTATTTTATCGGGCTGTAGGGCGGGATCGATGGAGACAGCTGGTTGACGGAATTGGACGGAGTCACGATCCTCAGCAGTGAGTGGGTGGCGCATTTAAGCAATAAATGTCTATGGGCTACAGTAACCACTTAACACCAGGTGGGCTGTGAGCTAGTCCAACCCTAAGCAATAAAAAAAAACATGCCACTATTCAGACCAACATGATATCAACTATCCAAACTGAACTGATTTAAAAAACCTTGTGTGTTCATGAATTCATACACAGACCAACATAAAATCGACTAGTCAAATCGAATATTTGTTAATTTTTTCCCTACCTATTCTGGTAACCTTGAGGGGTTATACTAGATTCGCAGAACGAGTAAGTGAGCTCACTGGGCTCTTATTTAATTAATCCCTTAACCGAAACCAAAACACCCCTTAACGCAGGCCTCATTGTATAAATCTAAGGCCTTAAAAGTAAAATCTAAAAGTAAAACGCTTCTATACTTTATTATAATTATGATGGCGTTGTCAGGTCAGGTGAGGGTACGGCCCGCCTGTTGGTGAGTGGTTACCGTCGCACGTGGACGTCACGGGCCTGGCGTTAGGACCAGCCGACCAGCAACCTACCTCTATAATGTTTGTTAGTTTTTATCGGAGCCCTTACCTCGTCGCCCTCGTGTAGGAGTCCAGATTTCTCCGCCGCTCCCCCTTTAACTATCCTGCCGATAATAACGGCTTCTCCTTCGTTCCTTACCGTGGCACCTGCGAAATAAAAATAACATTAGTAAATACGTTTTTCTAACAGCTTAAGGCGAGGTCGTATCGTGCGCTATTTGAATTAAGTTCAAAACCGCATATCCTATTCGACGCCGCGTTTGAACTGACTTAAAATTTGAGCGTAAATGGAAACATTTCTAAAATTGACTATGTCATTAAAAAATATGCACGACTGTCAATTAAAATTTTTTTTAAATTTTAGAATTTTTAGACCAACATTGACTGACTGACTGACATGATGCAATTTTAAAATATATATTTTTGCAATTTCTTTTATAAACGACAGTAGCTACTCGAAATTCGTTTCATATTATTATAATTCATTTTCTGCTGCTGTTATATCGTCTGTCGTCGTCGGTACTCACCACAACCCCGTCTATTTTCGTTGCGTATCGTTCTATCTGAAGGATGTATTGTGCTATAGAACTCACGTCTGAAGATTGGTAAGTATCTAAGGGTTCCCGATAACCTCTTAACACTAGGTGAGCCGTGAACTTATACATTTATCACAGCAATAAAAAAAATATGTTTTAACATTATATCAAAACCCTAAAATATTTCCGCTTTTTTCGTTGTATTCTGACACAGCGCGCCTTAATTACAAAGCTGATCACAATCTTTTCTATGTTTGGCGTAAACGAACAAACAACTTGTAAACCAATTAATTCAAAATACATGACTCTTCATCTGCAGCAGTATTAAAAATACAGTAACAATCTAGGGTTGTTCAAACGTAGAAAAAACTTACCGAGCGGTTCATTTGTTTTCTCTATTTTAATAATCTTGATGTGCTCGCTCGGGTCGTCCGGGGAATGCGACGTCAAACCTTTATCGTCCTTATAGGCGCTCCCGTTCTGTAATTGTTTATCAATCTATATTAATATCTATAAATTAATACGTGAAGCAAAAACTTTGTACCCCTTTTTACGAAAATTGCGCGGACGGAGGAGTATGAAATATCTCACACTTATAGAGAATATAGAGAAGGAGTGCACAATGCTAATATTTTTTTAAAATAATACATAAAAAATACTTTAAATCAATAAAAAAAAAAACACACACTACCATGTATTTGACACAACACATACATAAAAATATACTCTTTGTTTACTGTCAATTGGGAAACTTTTGTTATTGTTTGTATAAACAATTCTATAAACAAAACAGACTATTCTGTGGTCGAATTAAAAATAGATTAATATTGGTTTTCTTTAATATCATTGGTCTATAGTGCAGTTTTGGCGAATACTGTGATTATATTATCGAATTATAATAGTGTTTGAGAATAGAACCATAATAATGTTTAAACTTATAATGTCAATTAATTATAGTCGAATTTCGACTACTGCGGGGCCACTAGTCTATACTAACATATAAATCTACAGTAGCTTTTACGGATGTTCCGTTATAACTACTGAACCGTGCATCCGATTGACTTGAAACTTGGTATCCATGTAGAAAATACATGTACTCAATGGATAGGCTAATATTTATATGAGTGTTGGACTCCCTACACAAGTTGCGGGGGCGTTAACGATGGGAATCTTTGTGGGGGTGAGAAATAATAATGTTAATTTTAAATGCCCAGCGAAGCGGAGGGGTGCAGCTAGTCGTTTAGTTCGCGCAGCGCACCACCACGGGCTACCATGACGACCTTTCTCGAAAACAAAGTGACATGTCGATCCTACATGCGATGCTCAAACGCATACACAAACAAACAAACTAAACACACAAATACTATTTCTTTTATTGAAAGCAAGCCGCGTTGATTTTCAAGAATTTAACTGATTCAACTTTAACGATTACGAGTTTAAATGCCCTTATTTAAATATTAATAGACGGAATTGTTAATTTAATGGAATGTCACATTACGAGATGTCTACATTTCGTCGTCAAAATCGTAAGGATGAAGGATTTTAGTAGAATGAAAATTTTGAGCAATTAATTCCATTTTGTGTACGTAATTTGATTATAATTCGTTCGTGAAAGTAATTTCATAAAAGCAGCAAAATACTTATGGCATGGTCGATGTGGCGGGTAGCCATCATACAACGCAAAAGATAATTGACAGATGTCTGAATCTCGCTTACGACATTTTCAAGATAAAGCGCATATATACAAGTTCCGAACAACAACATTCGGACCGTCGGTCTACCGAGCAATATCACCCGCTCGGTGGAAGATCTTCCCTTTGTCGTATCCCTACATATTTTTACAGCTTTCTGGTGATATCGTGTGCACGCATGGATATGTACAACAACCCTGAATGTTTCTGCCGCGAATCACTCACGCCTTCTGGTTTAGAGGATGAGGCAGCCATTAAGAATTAAGACTTAGACCACATGCCTCAAGGGGCGGCGTGTTAAGCTGAAGATGAGAACTCAAGTTAAACGAACTACCAGACTGATCAAGATACTGTACAGTTCATTCCGTGTGAAATGAAACATAAAAATCTAGAAATATTTTTAATAAAAAAATAGACGGTAGTTAGCAAAATACTCAATTATCGACGAATAAGACCATTTTTTTGGAAAAACCTTATAGGCTTTTACCACGAAAACAGTAAAGTAATCGAAACTTCGGAAACAGTATAATGACATTAAAAAAGGCAAGATTGAATCGTTAAATTAGTTTTAATTGTACCTACAATCCACGAAAACTGATGAAAATACCTACTACATATAATTAATTATCCTACATCTAAAATCTCTCTCTTCTAAATAAGATGTCTTCTAGATAATTGTCCAAATGAAAATTGAAAAGAACAAAATCTCACCTTATGCCTCTTGCCTAGAGTGAAGCATGATTGATCTAGCATAGCAGCGGCCTGGTCGTGCGCCTGGATCAGATTCTCTAGCTCCAGTCCACCGAGGATCGAAAGCAATTCCGCTGCTATCGCGGAAGTGTCGCCTCCAGTTGTTGTATGGGCGCCTAACACGTCCATGCACTGTTCGGATCAACATTCCCTAAATTAATATGGTTGAACATCGTCTACTGAGACCCAGGTGAAATCCTTAAGAAGCAGTAATGTGTTTCGGTTTGACGGGTGGGGCAACCGTTGTAACTATACTGAGACCTTAGAACTTGTGGTGGCGCATTCACCTTGTAGATGTCTATGGGCTCCAGTAACCACTTAACACCAGGTGGGCTGTGAGCTCGTCCACCCATCTAAGCAATAAAAAAAAAATATAGATAATTATAGACAAATAACCTAAACCATATCTAGATTAGTCTCTTTGAAATCACACTCTCATTTTGAAAAACAAATATGAATAGATAACATTTACTGGTGGTAGGACGTCTTGTAAGTCCACATGGGTAGGTACGACCACCCTGCCTATTTCTGTCGTGAAGCAGTAATGCGTTTCGATTTGAAGGGTAGGGCGGCCGTTGTAACTATACTGACCTTAGAACTCTTGTTTCAAGGTGAGTGGCGGCATTTACGTTGTAGATGTCTAAAGGTTCCGGTAACCACTTAACACTAGATGAGCCTTGAGCTCGTCCATCCAATCTAAGCAACAAAAAACAGTGTAGTTTTAACGTGTGACGAAGTTGTAAGGTAGCACATATGTATGTAATTTATTCCATTGTAAAATTTTTGTTTTAATTATCAAGGTTATGTTTACGTAAGTGTTATTTTATTTTTTTATTCTAATTTTTGGTAGGCAGCAGCTTAGCTCTGTCCCTGGCATTGCTGATGTCCGTGGGCGACGGTAAAACCTCACCATCAGGTGGGCCGTATACCTACAAGGGCAATCTAAAATAAACGTTATTTTTTTATATTTTTCTGTATGTTGAAATCGTAATTGATTGATTTAATTACTCAAAATAACTACAACTTTTTATGTGAATACATAAAGTTTTGAATGCACTGGTTTTTTTTCCTTTGAATATATATGTACACGCTAACGGTCCACATAAAGTTAACGATTACTAGAGTCGCATTCCGATATTGTGATTTTGCCAAATTTTCAATTGTTTTTATTTCAATCCTAGACTCGATCTACTTCAGGTATACCGTGAACAATTCTGCCCATCAAAAGCAGTTAAAAAAAAACTTGCCACTTTCAGTATTTCCATCATCAATGACCCCATTGTATGGAAAATGGAAAATTTACATAAAAATGTTAGTTAAAATGAGAAAATCGGGTGTGCTTATATTGTCTCATGTTCGGTATTCAAATTTTTGACAAAAAACTTTTATTTTTGAGCAGGCAACAAAATTACTATGTAGACTATAAATAAAGTGATGGAGCTTACGTCTTTCAAGCTGTCCGAAGCATGTTTGGTGGAGGGAGGTGACAGTCCTGGTCTCTTCTGCCTCACGGCTGTCAAAACTGCCGATCTGGTCGCCAACACGGTCCTCAGCGCAGGACACAGCAGAGACCCAGCAGCTCCCGCTACCCTGGCTGCCAGAGCCGTTTCACCACTGGCGGCCAGTGCTTTTTGAACTCTCGTGAGCGCCGCGCATACTTCTTGATAATCTGAATTCGAAGACGACGAAGAAAGTTCAAACTAGATGTTACTTTAAACTAAGTTTGCATACAGATTTGAATTGAAAGCCAATTTAAAATACGAATATATATATAGTGGTAGGACCTCTTTACTGGTGGTAGGACGTCTTGTGAGTCCGCACGGGTAGGTACCACCAACCTGCCTATTTCTGCCGTGAAGCAGTAATGCGTTTCAGTTTGAAGGATGGGGCAGCCCTTGTAACTATACTGAGACCTTAGAACTCTTGTTTCAAGTTGAGTGGCGGCATTTATGTTGTAGATGTCTATGGGTTCCGGTAACCACTTAGCACCAGGTGGGCTGTGAGCTCGTCTATCCATACATATAGCATATAGCCTAATGGTAAATGGTACAACAGCATTACCGCTAGGGACAGCTTTGAAACCTCGTTTGAAGGTAAATAAGTTATCAATTTCAAATTACGTATACTGGTAAATGACAAAATAATGCGATCAAATATGTAACTTAATAAATACTGATAAGAAGATAGAAAGAGATAAATACTGAAATAAATAAGACAAGATATTGTTACTCCGGTAAGAATAACGCAGTCTATCGCCGAATAGTCGAACGAATATGGAAGGACCTAGAACGCTCGAGAAGTACAACCCCATCTATTGTCAGATAGCGGAAACTACTGCTAGAGATGTGTGGAATATTCTCGATAATTCTAGAGATGAGGTATCGACTATAAAAGCGTTGTAGAGATGACTACTCGAAGCGAAACAGCGAACGCGATCACCTGAAGCGAAGCGAAAGAAGCGAATTGAGAGTTTTAAAGTGTTTGTGAAGTGTTTGAGTGCTCTAAGTTGAATACAGTGTTAACATGTAATTTGGTAGAAATTTACTTATCCCGAACCCCAGCGCGTAACAATATTTAAAATTTATAGTTCACAGAGCTCCAACGGTTTTTAAACAAACGAATTATTAACTGCAAAAACGACTCGTCTTGTTGATTCAAACCTAATAATAGAGCCTACAAGCCTAATCAACATTCTGTAGCCCGACCACATACAAGCTGACAAATTATCAACTTAAGTGTCCTTCGTTATCCAGCCGAAATCAGCGTTATGGAAGTTGCCAAGGAAAGGTCGCTTACGCACAGCATCAAAGGAGGGCTTTACATTAGTTTAGTTGATGGGCACGATTGTGAATCGTCCCAGTTGGCACCTATCGGACGCGGAACTATTGGATCGTGAACTGGAAGTGATTCGTTCACGGCATCTGTTGTTTTACAGCGCACGATTTTTTAATTAGGTAAATAAATGATTAAGATCTTACGTTATGTATACGTCTCCAATTATTTATATGTTAGTTGACCTGGCAGACTTCGTGGTGCCTCAATCGATAAATAAAAGACCTAAACTTTTGTATAAAATAAACTTAAAATAAATAAAAGGAATCCGTCTGACGGGGGACACATCACAGGAAAAACAAAATTGTTATTTTTATTTAATTCCAAGAATTTTCATATTTATCTACCTTTTAAACCTTCTCTGGACTTCCACAAATAATTCAAGACCAAAATTAGCCAAATCGGTCCAGCCCTTCTCGAGTTTTAGCGAGACTAACGAACAGCAATTCCTTTATATATATATAGAAGATAGATAATAGATATATATAGAAGATATATAGAAGAAGAAGATTTATATGTTATGTTTATAAAGTAAGCTATACAAATGGAACGTGGTTAGATAAACATTATACTTTTTGAACATGAATATTCGAACGAAGGAGATCGAACCTTTAGAGAGATGATCACTGAGATGAAAACTGGATCACAACTTTCAAAAATTGGCAAATTTGTATTGTTGTTTGTACCTTCTGCGGTATCTGCGACATATGCAATATTATTGAACGGGCTCCTCAGAGTACGAGTAAGAAAAACTAGGTACTTTAGGTGTATATCGGGACGAGTCATCGAATTCTAGGGGTTACACGCAAAAACGACCGAGAAAGAGGGTAGATAGATTTTTCTCTGGCTAACATCCTATCCGCAACCTATCTATCAGTCTATCTGTGATCACGGCGCTTACAACAACGCTGAAATATCTGGAACTTGCATGTGTAAGTCGCAGTAAGAAGCCCTTAAATGATAGTGTGTATAACTCATACGGTTAAACGGTCCAACGACGTCATCATAATGGTTGGTAGGGACTGAATGCGAAAGGCCAGAGACCGAAAAGAATGGGGTACATTCGAAGGGGCCTACACTCAGGATTGCGTGGACACGGATTGAAGAAGGATAGCTCATGGGTGCTCACCAATGATCGTGTAAAGTTGGGACGAGTCATCGCTGAGATCGTCTTCATAGGCGTCATTGACAAACGCAGTCCCGCCCGACGGCGGAGGATTTGTTCTTAAGTTCTGAAGTTTGTTGGAATTCCGTATGGAGTTTCTCAGTAACTCATTTTGGGCTGCCGCTCTTTCTTCGGCTTCTTTTCGCTGCCGCAGTTGTTCCTGCAAGAGTAAAAATTCAAGTATTAAACAACTAGGCTGTACTAGGCTAATCTAGATTTTTTTATGGCTTAGATGGGTGGACGAGCTCACAGCCCACCTGGTGTTAAGTGGTTACTGGAGCCCATAGACATCTACGACGTAAATGCGCCACCCAAACCGAAACGCATTACTGTTTCACGGCAGAAATAGGCAGGGTGGTGGGACCTACCCGCACGGACTCACAAGATGTCCTACCACCCGTAACTCCATAATTATTTACTGCATTTTTTTAATTCACGTATAGTGAAAACGCGAATGAAGATAGCAAGCGTGAATAAGGAGCTTCTACTGTATTTGTATAACTTTGTAGGCAGCGCTGTACAATTTTTTCTTGTCACGTAATCTTCTGGGAACACATAAATCCAAAAGGCAATCATATTATTAATCCGATCTTGGTATAGGGAACTCTGAAAACATCGATTGTACGTTTTATATGACCGTATTAAATGATAAGTCAAAATTAATAGAATCGTTCGTGTAATTCATTCAACATATATCGACTGCTAGCAAATCCGGTAAATAGCTACACTATTCTTAAGATTGCACTGAAAACATTGACAGGACTTTTTGGCGGGAACGCGAGGAGTGTAGTTGTGTGATTTGTTTTATTTTGTCTATTTAGTGTTTCTTCAGATTTTAATCTGTAATAAAGGTGGTTTATTAACTGTTTAATATCTGTGAAAGTGCACAAATGTGGGAAAATGAAACAAAGCCGCTGGACGTGACTTCTCAGGATCCTCCAAAAAGTCCACTGAAAAAATCTCAGTAAATGATCATCATTTTACTGAGATTATATTTCATCCCATAACATCTTATGTGACTACATTTAATTTCATACCAGTTGATTAATGTCTCAAATTTATCATCTTCATTTCATTTTGACTCCATTTTATCATTTTTCATAAAAGTAAGAATGTAAATTAAAATAAGACATGACCTAAAGGTCTTCGTTACCAGGTCATAAAATCCCTTAAAAAAAAAACATTGCCAAATATAATCAGTCATCTATCACTAAAATTCTATTTGAGTTCTTCGAATAAAAAAACAGTAATAAAACGGAAATTTGATACGACACAGCGGAAATAATTTGCGATGTAAATTAGAACAAAATATTAAACCTTTCATCTTCTGCGTTAAATGTTCAATTAGCGCGTTTAAATGAAGGAGCAACATCTGGTTTTAAGTGGTGCCGTAACAAAGCAGGGCTACGCGGTCGATCGTAGTAGGTACTCCAAAACACAGTTCAAATTTGAATTAAGAGCTCCTATCAATGTTTCCGCAGTGTTTTGCGTGACGTTCTGTTTGTTTGGGCGCACGGTTGACCCTCCCGGTAGGTAGTAACGTCATGCATCACGATAAATAGCCTTTTTCGGCCTCAAAAAATAATACTGCCCTGCGAAACCATCGATACAATCTATATATGTATATAAAAATGAATTGCTGTTCGTTAGTTTCGCTAAAACTCGAGAACGGCTAGACCGATTTGGCTAAAAGGTAGAAACATATGAAAATGCTCGGAATTAAATAAAAATAACAATTTTGTTTTTCCTTTGATGTGTCCCCCGTCGGACGAATTCTTTTTGTTTGTGTTAAGTTTATTTTATACAAAAGTTTAGGTCTTTTATTTATCGATTGAGGCACTACGAAGTCTGCCGTGGTCAGCTAATGGAAAATAAAATCCAAGCTTTTGTAAAACTTTGTAAAACAACCTTTGGGATTATTGCCTATCAACTTTATATAAATAAATTATAAACCGAAGATTAGGTATGAAATTATCGGAGGTTTACGACGAAGGGAAGATCTTCCACCGAGCGGGCGATATTGCTCGGTAGACCGACGGTCCGAATGTTGTTCGCAACTTGTATTTAAGCAAACTTATCTTGGAATTTCTTAAGCGATATTCAGGCATATCGTCGTTGTCAAACCCAAATCTGCTATGTGCACTTTTTGAGATTTTTACTTTTTTGCCTTTTCGTATAGTTCACAGCCCTATCTATCGTATAAAAAAAACTGTTATGTGTCTATAGATTTAATATTTATCTATAGCTTTCGTTTGATATCGTTCTTAAAAGTTCACCTTCATATAAAAATTATACGAAAATGTTTTTACTCGTTAATTCAAAACAGAGTTTTTGCACATAGCAGATTTTGGGTTGACAGCGACGGTATGTCAAATATCTTGTGTTGTATGATGGCTCTCTTCTACATCGTTCCCTCGCTGCTGACGATCGCGGCCACATGTGGCGTTCCTCCACTGTGTTGGATCATGGGTGGCATGGCACGCATGGTACAGACTACCACCAAGTGCTTCGCCTACTACATCTGACCATTTGGCTGGTGTTCTGCCCACGGCTCCCTTAGCTTAGAGGGCTATGCGACGCGAAATTATGGGCTTTTTTTCTTTTTATTGTTTCGATGGCTGGACGAGCTCACAGCCCACCTAGTGTTAAGCGGTTACTGACCTAGTGTTAAGCTGTAACCCACCTTGAGATAAAAGTTCTAATGTCTCAAGTATAGTTACAACGGCTGCCCCTACCCTTCAAACCGAAACGCATTACTACTTTACGGCAGAAATAGGCAGGGTACATACCCGCGCGGACTCACAAGAGGTCCTACCACCAGTGAAGTACCTACCCTTCCCTAATTCATGTCTGGGAGACCGCATGATGTGTCCAAAGAAGCTCATAACACGTTCCCGGCAGATGGCAGAGAGCCTTTTTTGGATTTTTACCTCCCTTAATATAAACTACATGATGACCGAGCTTTACTCGGTTTTTTTTTTGATAACGCCATCTTGTTGTGTCTTTAAAGCGGTTAGTTGCCCTCAATTAAGAAAAATAGTATTATTATTCGCCAATAGATGTCGGGAGGAGTTGAGTATTGAAAACATGAATAAAACAACATTTTCTGAAAATAAATCGTAGCTAGATCGATTTATCGCCCCGGAAATCTCCTGTATACTAAATTTTATGAAAATCGTTGGAGCCGTTTCCGAGATTCAGATTATATATATATATATATATATATTAATATACAAGAATTGCTCGTTTAAAGGTATAAGATAAGATAAGATACAGCTACACGCCACAAAATACATCCTATATCGTCTATAGGAAATCTACTTCAAATGTTTCTCTGGTTGTGTTTCGAATTGGAGTGAAAACGATAATAGGTTTGACCAATAATAACGTGCTTGTAATTTTTGTGCTAGATTTCTGCTTTTGTTATCACAACGACCGGTTTACTTGAGTTTAGTGGGTCAGTCGTGCACCCTCGCTGTGGGTTCAGCGAGATTGAACGATAACATTCGCCCATATCTCTGCGATCGGACACGATCAATTTGATTCATCTATTAGTTCCTAAAATATATCTCAAATATTTTTGTGAGGTATAAAAAATTCATGTCGAACTTTCTAGTTCATGTTTTATACTACTATGAAATTTAGAATAATAAATAATAAATAAATAAATAAATATTTACTAACAATCACGCCACGTTAACTGGTCCCGTGGTAAGTTCGTAAAGAACTTGTGTTACAGGTACCAGATAACGGAAATAAATATAAGATTTTTATTATACACATACATATATTTAATATACATCCATAACCCTGGAAAAGACATTTATATTTATCATACAAATATCCTCCCTTGGCGGGATTCGAACCCGCGACGAATATAACGTTTTAACTAGCCAAATGTAATTTTTTTTGTACCTAAGCTGGTAGCTTTGATAGACTATACCAGCGTAAACGAGCTAGTAGGTGAGCTCAAGGGGCTCAAACCTGACGTTGTTGCTAACACGAACCCTAGCAAGAGCTGTGCTTCGCAGAATCTACCGCCGGATCGGAAACGCGACCCACTGAGAAAATCCTCAGAGAAATTCACTAGGCTTGTAGTAAATAAAAACCAGGATAAAACGAACGACAATACCGTATACTTTTTTTTATACTACCCACACGGTAAGCGAGAATGCTCGCCAAGAATTCTTTTAAATTTGGTAACGATAAATAGCAATTAGCTTATATTTTTCTAAATTTACGTTTGATTGAATTAATTTAATCAAACTCAGCAACTACTATTGTGTTGCAAAATTCATTAATTTACTTGGTTCATTTTGTAAGGCAATTGCAGTCTGCTACCTCAGGAATATACGCGACAGAGACGAATCTAGAATTAAACATTGGGTGTAAAAAATTTACCGACTTACTGATTAAAAACTAATCAGTACCTAAGTTGATAAATTTTTTCGCGAATGGTACAGTAGTGGGTTTTAAATATTTTTATGGTTAAAATGTTTATTTCCAAGATTTTGAATACGTTGTCTGGATGCGTTTATTACGACTTAGATTGTTCACCTGTGTTCCGTAAGCATGTGATTGATCAGTTCACATGATCTAAAATGGTTGCCAGACCCATCACAACATTCTAGAAATCTAATAATATTTAAGGTTGCCTTTCCGAGGTCAAATGACGATTTTAATATCAGAATTATGGTCGTCGTTGACGGGTACGCCACCCTTATAAACAAAAGTCAAATTCAAATTCAAAATCATTTATTTCAACTTAGATGTCAGTATAACACACTTGTTGAATGTCAAAATATAAATAACAATGTTAACTCTACCACCGGTTCCAAAAAAAGCCACAGTCCTGAGATGAACCGGCGAAACAAACTCAGCGGGCTTTTTTTTTGTTTTTCCTCAAATATTTTCTTTTTTTTTTTAAATAAGTAACAATGCAATAAACGAAAAAACAAGTCAAAAAATACAATTACAAAATAATAATAATAATGAAAAATGAAATGGCCAGGAGCGAACGCCTCATTCCCACGTAGTGCCATCTAGTAGATAATCCTTAACTTTATAATATGCCTTGTTGCACAAACGTTCCTTGACAGTTTTCTTAAATCTATGAACAGGTAGTAATTGAACGTTTAGTGAGATCTTGTTGAAAAGTTG